TAGATGGTACTCCCATCAAGGTAGTAGAAGAGGCCAAATTCCTTGGACTTAGTTCGCAGTAAACTAGATTATGGCTCCATTGTCTACGGTGGAGCCTGCAAAAGCAATTTAGAAAAATTAGACTCTATCCACCACCAAGGGATGAGGCTCTGCCTGGGAGCTTTTAGGACCTCTCCGGTAGACAGTCTATATGCGAAGGCCAATGAACCTTCCCTTGAACAACGCTGCATTAAACTCTCACTGCAGTATATCACTAAATTACGTTCAAATGAGTCCAATCCAGCATACAATTGTGTCTTCAACCCGCTCTATGAAAACTTATTTCCTAAACTGCCAAGCCTGGTTCCACCACTTGGAATCAGGATCAAACCACACATATCTGCAGCTAACATTGATCTCAACATCATTGCAACATACAAACTTCTGTCCTCACCACCATGGCAAATGGTGAAACCACAGGTCGATCTTACCCTCACCAAACTCAAAAAGTCTGAAACAAATCCCTTGGTGTTCCAACAGGAACACAACCAGTTACGTTCGAAGTATAACACTCACAGATCCATTTTCACAGACGGATCCAAGGACGATGGCTAAGTTGCCATCGCTACAGTCATTTGATTCAAGACTGTCTCCTCTAGGATCCCCGACAACAGTTCTATTTTCTTTGCCGAGGCCAAAGCTATCTTTTCAGCTCTGACCTATATTAAACAGCAGAATCATTCCAAAAACTTCATCGTTTTCACAGATTCATTATCTTGCCTTCAAGCACTTTAAAATGTTACTTCGAGTCACCCCATCATTCTGGACATTTTGGAACTTTACAACGACCTCTCTACTGCCCAATGCAACATTGTCCTCTGCTGGTTGCCGTCGGCATAGCAGGTAACACTAAGGCCGATGCTGCAGCAAAAGCAGCTCTAGAAAAGCCCCTATCTCCACTGCTAATCCCGTACAGTGATTTCAAACCCACTATCAGAAGCTATACTCGGGACCTGATGCAAAAAAGGTGGGACACTCAAGTAGGAAGAAACAAACTCCACGAATTGAAGCCAACAATCGGTTATACCTACTTGAGTTGTAAGTCAAGACGTGATGAAGTAATTTTACGACGATGTATTGGCCACAGTCGATTTACACATGACTTTCTGCTAAAAACGGAAGGGGATGGACCCCCCATATGTCTCTCCTGCAATGAGGCTTTCACCGTCAAGCATATTCTGCTTGACTGTGTGGACTTTACATCTGCAAGGGACTCGCATTATCACGCAACCAATCTGAAAGATCTGTTCTCCAGCGTGAGCGCTCATCTGATACTGAACTACCTGAGGGAAGTTGATCTCTATCATAAACTGTAACTGTGTAATGTCACTAACGAATTTACCTGCTTTTCAATTTAGTGCTATGACATTCTGTTCCAAAATGACAATGTAACGAACGTGTTTCTTTGAAATCAAACCACTTTGTACTTACAATGCATATTTTTGTACTTACAATGTATATTAATGCAGACTTGTTCTCGTCACTATATGGCTGGAATAATGCCGATGTGACGTAAAGCCCAACTCAACTCAACTCAATTATCAATTCAAACATAGCACATAGCGCTTGCTCGTGTCAATAACGGTGTCATCAGGACAATAGACCAGCAGAATGTCACCCTGAATGTCATCATCTGCCTTCGCCACCATAGACCACACGATACTGCTTTCTCGCTTGGAGGAAAGACTCGGTGTTACAGGAAAGGCTCTTTCTTGTTTGATTCAGTTTGTCAAGATTGGCGATGTTACCTCACTGACGATAACAGTTAACGTTGGTGTTCCACAGGGTTCAGTTCTGATGGCTTTACCGTTTCAGCAGATATATCCTACCAATTAGTGATATAATCAGGAAACACGGTTTGATCATTCATCTCAAGGCTCACGACAATCAGACCTACATATCTACAAGTACAACCAGAAATTATTGAGAATTTTAAGATTGTATTTTTTTATTTTTTTAGTCATTACTCACGTATTAAATGTGAATATAAGCAGAACATAACTCCAGATTCAAAGACAGGTGAAAGTTACTATTTTGTCAAGTCACCTAGTCAGCAATGCTGGCTTCAATGTGGAAGGCATACTACTGATCAAAAAAGTTAGAAAGTCGAGGACCATGCTGTCCCAATATCGGACCACTTCTTCTTTCATTTCAGCAATATTTGTCAGATTTTTCTTATTGACACTTCCCTTCATAAGTCCCCAAACATTTTCTATTGGATTTAGGTCTTAGATTTAGATTTTAGACTATAGCTTGGAAAATCTAATAATGTCATATTTTGGTCCAAAACCAGGCCTGTGAATGCTTTGAACGATGTTTTGGGTCGTTGTCCTCCTGGAAAATCCAAATATTTCCATATAACACGTGAGCAGATGGAAGTAAATGTCCCTCGAGAATATCTGTGTACCGCTCACTATTCATATTCCCTTCAAATACACAGAGGAGCGTTGCCCCTTTCGCAGATATGCCACCCCACACGTTAAATTTCGGACTGTGCTGATACAAAGGTTTTTCAGTTTGTATGGTCCAGAATTTCAGTGTATTAGGAAACAGCCACACAGAACTTTCATCTGAGAAAATCACTTTGTCCAAGTTAAAATTTCTATGCTGTAAGCACCAGTTCAACCTTTGCTCCTTTTGTTCAGGTTTCATGATCGGTGATGGAATTCCTCGACTTTTCTGCCACAGTTCCTCTATCAATCATATCCAGCCTTAACTCCTTCGTTTGTTTTTAGACCGCCTCCGTGGTGTAGTGGTTAGAGCGTCCGCCCGGAGAGCGGAAGGTCGCGGGTTCGATCCCCGACCGCGTCATACCAAAAGACGTTAAAATATGGTACTTGTTGGTCCCTGCCTGGCGCTCGGCATTAATGGGTACAACAAGGACTGGTCGGCTCGGAGTCAGTATAATGTGTCTGAGTGGGGTATTCATGCTTCACTGCGGCATGGTATCTCAGTGGAGTAGCACTATAAAACCAGCTTCTGTCTGGGCTAGTACAAGCAGCCGCACATACACATACACACGCATGCACGTCGTCATATGAGCGAAATATTCTCCAGCACGACGTTAAACCCAATTTCACCTCACCTCACCTCGTTTGTTTTTAGAAACAAGAATACCAAGCCGCCTCCTGTCACCAACAGTCAATTTCTGGGCCTACCTGGTGCTCAATGCCATATCCATTTGATAGCTGGTCTAGGTTGTTTATACTAGAAATCCAATTAAACATATTCCTAAAATTCTCAATAATTTCTGGTCATACTATATAAAGCCATCTGAAACTGCTACTGGAATCAGTCAAATTGAAGCCTCTGTGAGCGGTGTTAGATCCTGGATGACTGTGAATTTTCTCAAAGTAAATGAGAGTAAAACAGAATTTCTACTACTTGGTTCTAAACAGCAGCTTTTGAAATTGGCTGCACCTCTGTCACTTAACATTGGCAACAGCAATGTCGCAAACCATAACATCTGTAAGAAATCTTGGAATCATACTCCATTCCCTTAAAATACATGTCAAGTCCTTGAGCAAAACTTGCTTCTTCCACATTCACAACATCACTAAAATCCGCCATCTTCTTGACCATAAAAACGGCAAGATTTCCTTTGCAGACTCTCATCTCATCACGACTGTATTATTGTAACTCTGTTTTCTTCCATATTCCTTCATCTCTGATGCCAAAGTTACAGCGAATCCAGAATGCAGCAGCAATGGCTGTAACGCGCAGGCCCGGAACAGAGCATAAGACACCTATCCTGTAGGCCCTCCACTGGCTGTCTTTGATTTCAGGATTGAGTGCAAAATACTTCTTCTAGCCCCAAACTGTGTCTATGATGAATCATCGTGTCAAAAGACTTGTGAGCACATAGCAACCAACCCGTACTCTCCGTTCTGTCGACCATCTTCGCCTATGAGTCCCAATTATGAAATCATCAATGTGTGATCGAGCCTTCTCTGCCTCAGATCACCTACTGTGGAACGATCTACATCTTCCTTTGATGATTGTGACAAACCTTAGACTATCTTAGACACACCTCTCCAAGCAAGCCTTTTACTAGCTTTTCTGAATGACTTTTTCTTATATCTCCTGTATAAAGCGCCACTGCGCAAGCTGTATGGGTGGAAGTTAGGCGCTATAGAATAATAATTATATAATTATTCTATTATTTGAAATAAAGAATTGAACACATCATTCATTGTTTTCCTCATTTATTATTGCAGTTTATGTAAACAATTTGATTTTAATGATGATCCTGCCAGTGTTCCTACATGGGAACATTTAAGTTTAATTCAACATTTTGACCTTAATTCCTGGCTACAACGAAAAAATTTCTTTTGCCATTATATACCTACATCATTTGTTTTTAAGGACATGTGAAGTAAGTTTTAAACTAATGCAATTTTATTTGTCAATTATTTTATAGACCGTTTTCGGTTAAAAACACGTTTTTGGGCATTTTCTTTCAAAAAAACTTCAAAATATGATTTAGAATGTTAGAACATTGGCAATTATCTTTAGATCAATATGGTTAAAACGTATTAATTTATCTTCAATCATAAAAAAGTTACAAAGCCTTTTATGACATGTTCCCAGTGCATGAAAAAGGTTAAAATATGTTAGGTGGTACTTAATAAAGTTCCATGTGTATATATTGAATAAACAATAAACAAGGTTACAATGAATGAGCCCCACAAAGTGCTAGAATTGGTTCTTTACTAAGAAAGTTTAATCCAAACTATAACATATGTTACATTTGACCACTTTCTAAATGGCATTGTGTATTTCATAATGAGAGGATATTCAAGACTGGATATTCTTTTGTCTTTACAGTTTATATTTACTTGCACATCCGGTTGTTCATCCAAAAAGTTTGTCCTTATCCAAATTTGTTTTATGTTTCAGATTTCTCATTCACTGTAATGTAAAACAACCCATGGATTCCCGATGAGATGTTACTATGTGGTTACTGTGGTCAGGTTATTCCACCAGAGACTCAATGTGTAGAGGGAGAAGAGGCGTATCATGAGGAGTGTATCAAGTGAGTATAGTGTGTCTGTCGTGTCTCACTTCTGGGTAGGCTTTCTATTTAGTTCCACTTATATGTGACCATATTTGGATGATTTGACGAGTTTAACAAGTGTTCGTCATCAAGTATCTCAATATTTCAGTCTGCTGTACCTGATTAAAAAAAACATGGGAAGTAAAAGCATCTTATTATGGTGAATATGTCATTAACATAGGAATGTTAAATGTCTCTGTATCATTTTATCACCACACAAACGAACAGTATTTCCCAAATTTACTCACATTAGAAATAAACGACTTATCAGGCGTCAAATACACAATGCCAATTTAGAAAGTGGTCAAATGTAAGATATGTGATATTTGGGATTACAGTTTTTCAGTAAAGTACAGATTCTAGTACTTTGGGGGTTGAGTCCCATCCGGAACCGAAAGTGTAATCCCAAATATAACATATGTTACAATTGACCACTTTCTAAATTGGCATTGTGTATTTCATAGCTTTCGGCCTTGGGAGCCGTGCCGATTAACACTTATCAGAGGGGTACACAAAGTCCGCAGTCTAAGCTACCAGTTGTCCGACTTCCATTTTTGTGGAAGCCGCGGTGGCTGAGCGGTCTAGGCGTCTGACCTTGTGTGCTGGCGATTAGGCGATCTGAGGGTATGGGCTCGAATCCCGGATGGGACTCAACCCCAAAAGTACTAAAAACTGTACTTTACTAAGAAAGTGTAATCCCAAATATAACATATGTTAGACTTATCAGGCGACCAAATGAACAGCGTTTGAAATCTATGTATCATCTGGCTGTCAGATTTACACACGTTTAAAGGGTTGTTTAAAGGTCACATAAACCCTACGGGGTACAAATACATAAATCACTAACTGGCATCCTTATAAATGAAACCCCGTCATTAAAACTACTCATTTCGACCTTTAATTGACTTAAATCGACCTTTTTGACAACAGTGCACAATTCTCACCCGCGAACGAAATTTCAACCAATCAGAGCGGAGCGCCTCTGTGACGTTATATGAGGAATAGCTTTGAGGGCCGATGCAGAATTCATCTACATTTTAGGGGTTAAATTATCTTGTTTACAGGCTTGTAAAACCTGAAATCGTGACAATTGTTGTGGAAAATGAAAGCTATATGTTCTCACAATCTACTGTCATTTAATTGTCATCCAAATTGATCCCATTTCTGTGTTTTTTACCTCGATATTTAATCATGTCATGTAAAAATCTGTTTGTATTCTCAAAACAGTGTCGGCCCATAAGTTTTCACATGCAATACAGCAATTAATACTCCCTTGTTGTAACCCGTGTTAGGTGGTATAAACCTACACATGTTATTTGTCATCATTCACTTGATGGTCAGTTAATGAATTTATAACAAGTATAATTAGTGGTAACACACTTAGATTACCCGGCAAAGGTTCCCATTTGGCATTTCTTGTCTCTGGAGTAAATATTCAACATTATAAACATCGATCAAAGGATTAACCGATAACACGCTGATTGATTAATTACTTTTATCTTACACAGCGGAATTGTCAAAAGGTAGTGTTTATGTATGTAGATTTACTTATCTATACTGAATACACTCTGTCGTGTCTGTGTCTGCGTAAAAACAACGTCCTTCTTTCAAAGGATTAACCGGCAATACATTGATTGATTGCCCATTATTGGCTAACTAAATTACTGTTTTTAAAGAAAGGCGGCCATTATGCAATTAGTTGCCAGGTGTGCTATCTTGGGTGACCAATGAGACTATACACCAATACCTGAAAAGATTTATCACTTTTTCGTATATTAAACTGTTAAAAGACACATCATTTGGAACAGTTTTGTGAATATTGATGGATACATTCCTCGAACAAGGTAATGGCCTGATATTGTTCCTATAACTTTAATCTGTTTTAATTTTAATATTTGCATTTTGTTTGTATTCATTTGTCGTAGCATTTAACAGAATCATTGTTTTCGCCGTGAAGTGTAATGAGACAGACAACATGTACTAGGGTGTGTGTGCGAATTATGATTCACATTGGCAAACGATAAAATGTCTAGATATTACAGTTCTGTTATAAATTCACTATAAGTATCAGCGGATCGTCTGCTTTTTATTTAGTTTCAAAATGCATACAAGTATGATAATAAACTAATTAGGATTATAAGACCAAATATAAAGACGCACATTGACTAGTATCTACATACTGGTGAGTGGACATTAACCACGTGAATGTAGCAAGAAATTTATCGCGCAGTATTGTGACTTCGACCCCCACCTCGCTTCCGTGGAAGAAATCGTTATGTTATAAGTTGTGTCATGCAAAATCCGTTTGGTTATGATTCCAATACATATTTAACTACGAGTAGAAAGTAGTCTTGATTTTCTAACTTGATGAAAACAAACTATAATCTCATTAATTCTAACAGATATTTTTATTTTTAAAAATGGCGGCGCCCTGTCGGGAACATCCGCCAGTCTGAGGATAAATGGTATTTAGTTTGTTTTAACCGAGTTACAAAATCAAAACTACTTTCTACTGGTAGTAAAATATGTATTTTATTGATGGCCAATAGGATTTTGCATGACATAGCATATAACATAACAATTTCTCTCGTGGCAGCGAGGTGGGTGTCAATATAATACTACTTACAATATTATTGCTACTTCGACCACAACCTCACTTCCGAGGAAGAAATCGTTGTTACAAGTTGTGTCATAGAAAATCTTTATGGTCATCAATCATATGCATATTTTACTACAACTAGTAAGTAGTTTTGATTCTTTAACTTCCGTGAAGCGATCTGAACACACTAAGATATCGTTTCAGACTTCCACAACGCTCGCTTCGCACTCACAAACATAACCCATTTAGCGCGAACTGCGGGGTCCTGTGGAAATCTGTGCATGGGGACACCATTGCCCGACCCCAAGGAGCAATTGACGACAAAGCAACGATTCGGCATGTCGTCGTTGATGTCGAGAAATCATCAAAATGATGAGCGTGCTACACATTTTCTATACAACTAACTGAAAATCGTTCCTCATATGACGTCACTGCAGTGCTCTGGCGACAGAGTTACGTAACCTGTCTGTGGTTTCGTTGGCGGGCGAGAGAGAAGCAGGCGACTTTTTGGCCACTTTTAATCGCTCGGTATTAATTAACCACAAGTTTTTAAAGAATGAATTTGGTGTTCCGCATAAGACTAACCACACATCTTTCATATGTAATAGTTAAAAGAGTAACAAAAAACAAAGTTTAGTGGTTCTTTAAATAAACGAACACTCCACTCTGTATTTACATCTGACCATTGTTTTCACGTTGTTGTGAAAAAAGTAACCATGCACGCACTTGGTGTAACCTCTAGTTGATTCGGAATACAGATATTATCCCATACGGACATTTTCTCAAATTCCAGTTACCCGTTGGAATGGACTGTAAACCCATTTTGAATATAAACTTTGGAAATATACTAGAAAATCCTAGTGATTGCAATTGCTTCCTTAGCTTAGATAACTAAGTATGTTAGATAATCAATTTGAACTTTGAGTTGATATTTTTGAGGTATTAGAAATAAGAGTACATGTCTATGAAAAATGGTCATTAACATATATTTTACAAAAAAACACACAGGTGTCTTAACTCCAGTCTATTGCATGTAACACTGTCACATGCACTAGTACGCTGTTAAGCTAACGTATTTGCTCCATTGTGATCATGAAATAGTGTACAATTTACATGTTGGGGCATGGTATGCGAGCTGGCTAAGGCGCCAGGCAAGTGATCCAGCGAGCTTGACGTGACGGGATTCAAATTTGATATTAGAGGTACATATATGGATCTTCAATATGTTTTCTATATCATACCTGAATCATGGAAATTGACCATAAAACAATACAGAAATATACATAACAATGATCTGGATGATAACTTTCTTTATAAAGATTTTATGGATTTGAAAAAAGGTTCAAGATTAATTTATGATAAACTCTTATCTGACAATATTAAACCTCATATTTGTCTAAAATGGGAAAACTTATTTTACGATATTCATTTTGATTGGCGTATGATTTTTAATATTTGCAGAAGGAATGTGAAAGATGTAAAACTTTTAGACTTTCAATTTAAACTTTTGCATAGAATTATTTATACAAAAAAAGAACTTATGAAAATGAAACTGGTTGACAATGCAGTATGTAGCCTTTGTAATGTTGATAGTGAAACTTTATGTCATGTATATTGGGAATGTGTTGTAACCCAAACCTTCTGGAAGGAACTTGAAAATTGGATAATCCAAAATATACAGAAATTTGAAATAACAAAGACCGTGGTTTGGTTTGGAATTTTGGGTAATAAACCATTACTAAATCATATAATCTTATCTGCTAAAAAATATATATATACTTGCACTTTGAAGAAAATAATTCCAAAAGTAAATAAAAAAAATTTAAATTTTGGAAGACATTTATACGGTTGAAAATTTCATATCCAGAAGGAACAATAAATCTGATCAATTTTCAGACAAATGGTTTCCTTTATTCTCAATATTTAATTTCTGACGTAATCTTTAATGAAGGGGGAATAATTGTTACTGGAGTATATTCTCTCTATGCTATCAGTTGACCTAACATTTGTGTTGAACCCAATGAACTTTGATCATGTATTTATGCATTTATTGGTTTACTTTTTATGCTTTTACTCAGTTATGGGAACAAATAAAAATATTTTTAAAAAAAAAGAAAAAAAAAGTGATCCAGCGAGCTTGACGTGACGGGATCGAGCCCACCTGTGACCGGGTGTAAAAACCTTGGAGTCAACTTTGTGTGCAGACTCTTTCAGTGTCTCAACCCCCAGTGTACAGTACACAACCCTTTGCACTTAAAAGAACCCACGAATCCGTTAGTATATGAGAGAGTGAGTTAAGTTTTATGCTGCACTCAGCAATATTCCAGCTTTATGGCGGCGATCTGTAAATAATCGAGTCTGGACCAGACAGTCCAATGAT